ACATAGTTTCGCAGTTATCATTCCAAATTTTTTGCCTACACATGTATGTAGTTTTATATCAGCTGCACGATTGTATTTTAAAACTTGTATTTTAACTGATACATATTTAAGATACCATGTGATAGCAAAAAAGTATTTCATTGTGTAGCTTTGCTCTGAACTCTTAGCCAGTTGATAAATATCATTTTTTGCCACCCTGCTATAAGCGATTCTATAGAACATGTCAGTGATAAAGTATAGGTGATTTGTATAAATCTTGCCGTTGAATTAATTCTTAGCACTAACACATCACTAGTTTAGTAAATTGTTTTAAATTATATTTTTTCAAAAAGGTCATTTTTGCCCATCTAGCCCTCTCGTTAAATCTGTCATTTTGTGGTATTACAAAGATCATTATTCTCATATTTTGAGATTATAAAAAAACATGTTACATAAGGTGTTAAGAATAACGTTGTACTAGTTAGGTATTCTATTCTTGTCATTTTTTAATTCCTCTCAGGTCTGTTTTGAATACTTGAATATTAATTCCCTGATACTTTTCTAGTAAACTTTGTTCACACTTATGTAAAAACCTACCAACCCTCATTTGACCATTGTGCTTGTTCTCTGGTGTCTCTATCACACCGGGGGATCCCATTCTGTCTCCCCTTGTTGCAGTTCAAGTATCCTGTTATTTAATTCTTATTTTTGCTTCAGAGAATTTCTTTGGTGTGGATTTATTTTTATTTCTCCTGTTTTGAGCCCATTGTGTGTCTTAGATAGAATTTATGGCTTTCAAAATTTTCAGCTGTTCTCATCCTATACATCTTACCTTTAAACTGCCCACTGAGACTTGCTCAGATACTTCTATTTCTGGAAATCCCACTTAGCATGGCGAGTACATTGACCTTGGAAAGTTGTTCAGGCCAGGCCTATTTCCTCAACTAATTGTAACAGGTAATCACTATTAATACTTGTACCATAAGGTAATTAATAGTAAATATCCTTATTTCCTATTAATACAAGTAATAATACCCTGCATCTAATGACAAGGTGTATTGTTTAAATTACACCTAGAAATGCTTACAGGTTTTATGCATTAATCAATTTTCTGAGGCTCTTGGGCTCTTAATCTTTTTTTCATCTACCTGTTCCATCGTCATCAGTGAGATGAAGAATTAATTACCTGTGGCGTTCAGTGGCGAAGATGTTGAGAGGAGTTCTCCTTACTTGGTCTGCTTTTGTGAGCAGTGCAATATAACTACAGAGCCTATGCCAGTGAGCTAATATTTTTTACTTGAACCTTTCAATGCAGTCAGCTATCCATTTTAGCAAGAAATTTTTAGTTTCATTTAATCTGTCTTCTTTCTAGAAACAAATCTAGGGTAGGTGTAAATCTCACAGTACTTACTGGTATTTTATAAATAACTTTTTCATCTGGGTGTCCTAAACTGAATTATGAAATTAAAGAATTGGGCATGTACTTATTTAAAGAATCCATGAGCTTCCTAAAACTATTTAGCATATCTCTTGTCAATTTACTGTCTTGGTTGATAGCAAAATTCAGATGGCTGTTTGGATTACATTCTGTTTAAAGTATAAAAATCCTAAGTAACTTTTTATAATAACAGTGAAAACATGCAAACTAACAGTGTAATATGTACTAAAGTCATTATGTTCTCTGGTGACATGTTTGGTCTCAATTACGCTATAGCTGCAGTAGCCTTCTATATGAATTTTAAAAAGAAACCATAAATGACACATTGTCAGCTGCAGTTATTTTTAAGCCTGTATTGTTTCAACACTTCTACCTTCATAGAAATATTAGATGTGCTGTGTAGCTCTGGCAACCCATTTGTACTCTGGGATAAACTTTGATAGAATAGTTTGAGAGCTTATATTAAAATAGAAAAGATGTAAATCCACTTAGAATTTCTATTTTCTGATTTTTTTTATCAGATATTTCAGGAAACTGCATTGTCACTAATAAATATTAAACTTGGGGTAACTGAGTTGCTTATGGTAAGAAACCTGTACACCATCACATTTAGCATTTAATTCATTACCACCACCAAAAAAAACAAAACAAAACAAAACCCAGCTTGGCAGAGAAAAGTGTTCATTTAAGGGAATTCAACTAAAGCTGACAAAATACTATGATTGTTCTAAAAATATGGATAAAATACAACTGTAAAAATTGGGAACAAAGATGGCAAAGCTGGAATAAACTCATTAACTAGAAGTAAAAGCCAAAGGTGCAAGGAGAGAACAAGATTTTTAGCTAATTGAAATATCACTCATCTGGGGACCAATAGACACTAATGATATTCTTGGTCCCATTTTCAAAAAAGATATAGCATAAAGGTAAGCAGTACATCAAAAATATAAAACTTATAAAACCAATTTCCACAGTTGAATTCATATGTGATTTGTAGAACTAAAGAGATTAGCTAGCAAAACATAATACAACTCCGTACGACCCAACCTGAAATGAGACGGCTGCAACTCAAAGTTTCAGTTAAAAGACGACATATTGTACAGTACTGTACTTGTTGCCTAGGAAGGTAGGATTTAGGCCCCAGAAAAACTTAAAAAGATACCATGTTATACTGAAGATCACAGTTCTGTGCTACTTTTGTCTGCTTAATCCAGTGCACATAATCCATGCTATTTAGATCCAAGGAGACAAAAACTAGTAATGTATCTAATTCTGAACCTCCAAAATAGAAAGTCTGTCTTCTTTCTGAACACGTGGGGGCAAACTTAAATATCCATATGTAAGCACCACTAGAAAGAACACAGACATTATGTCATCTTGATGGACTATTAGAAATTTTTTTTTGTTTTATTTCTTTTACCTTGAATTAAAGAAATGTTACTGTATCTAGCCTGGTAATACATGACTTAGCTATCACTGGATTCTATTTCACAAGTTTAACACTGAACAGTTAAAAATATAACAAGACACTTAATTTATAATAAAAACTAGAACAAAACCCTAGACATAAGAAATATGTAAAATTTATCAAACCACATGAGGAAAATTATAAAGCATCCACAGGTGAAGTTATATGAACAGATGGAAAACAGGATGTTCATAGATGGGAAGGGTCAGTGTCAGCAACATGTTATTTTTTTGCAGTTTGTAAATTTAACACGATCCTCATAAACTCATTTTTTCCTAGAGACACAAGGTAATTGTTAGGTTTCATTTAAAAGATTAAATAATGCAGAAAAGAACAAAGAAAAGGTTGCTTGCTCCACCAAACCTTACAACAAAGTCTCCATAAAAAAAAATGTGGCATTATTGGCCACATATATAGACCAATATGAAATAATCCCTAAAAATCCAGACATTGATGCAAATGGTTTAGGAAATTTAGTGATAAAGATAGCATTTTAAGTCAGAGGTATTCTGGCAACTAAACAGCCATATGGAAAAAATTGGAGCTGACCGTTATACTGTACATACGTACTGTGTGTACCTGGGGGATCAGGACCTTGCACTTGCAAGGCAGGAATGGTGCCACTGAGCTAAATCCCCCACCCTATACACATTATTTCTAAATGAGTCCAAAATCTAAGCATAACCCCAAAACCTTCCAAGTCCCATGAATTATTTTATAAAAGCAGGGAAATTTTTCCTAAGCAGAACTTGAGAAAGACTGATGAAATGTTAATATTCTACATATATGAAATCTAAGAAAAAGACAACCTAGTAAAAACAATGGGTAAAAATATGAATAGTTAACAGGAAAAATAAAAATTGCTCAAACATACGAGAAAAGTGTTACATACCTGACATACACCATTGCTCTGGAAGGGATCCTAGATATCCATCCATAGAGTAGAGTGCTGTGAGGAAACTTCTTAAAACAGCAGGCTGTAAGCTAGCATATGTTAGCCTTAATGTAGAATGTGTGTGTGTGTGTACCATTTTCTTTTGAAAATATAAGCAGATGCTATATGTACAAAGATAACTAAAGTACATGTTCACTTATGTGGGAAGAGGGGACAACAAGGATTAGACAGGATAAATGAGACTCCTCTGAAGGTCCCTTGTTTAATAATTTTTACATTGTAACCATGTGAACGATTTTCAAGCACAGTATTTTGATTAGATCACCCTAGTGGATCTACCTTGATGTCAGAACCACAAAGAAATCTTGTATTTCAGACTTGTTAGTAATATATAATATTGACATTATTTTGAAACAGTTGTAGGCCTTGTAGACTAAAGCAAATAAGTGGAACAGAGCTTAAAATGAAAGTAGTGAAGCAAAAACGCATCTCTACATGTGAAAAGCAGTGAACAAAGGAAAAGGAAGATCAAGAATTTAAGGCCCAGCCCATGCTACATAGTAAGGAGACCTTGTCTTAAACAAAAAAACAATTTTACAAGAACCTGGGAAATTATCTTGTTCAGTATTCCTATGGCTCTTTGTACCACCACCACCCAGCTCTGTCCCTTTCCTTCCTTCTACCATGTCTGAATTTCTGGCAGGTTCCTCGTCTCAGCTGTAATTTTGAAAAGGAACCATTGAAAGTATTATGAGCTTATGATAATACTGTTGTATGTAATTGTGCTTCACAGAGCAGTATTTACTCTTAACATACCTAAAACAACTTGAGATGCTTTGGAGTCGCAGTCAGGAATGCCATTTAAATTATAATATGCCAGGCATGGTGGTGCACACCTGTAAGCCCAGCATTTGGCACTGAGGCAGGAGGATCACCAAGTTCAACTCCACCCTGGGCTATATACCAAGTTCAAGGCCAGCCTGAACTACATAGTGAGACCTGTCTCAAAAAAATCGTAATAGAGATTTGGCAATGGCATTTTTGTATTCAGTTCATTTTAGTAATCCTGACTTCCTCCCACTCCCTTTTTTTTATAGGGTCTGTTTATCCCAGTCTGGCCTCCTCCTTCAGTCTCCTGAGTGTGGGGATTACTGGTGTGTCCCACCATGCCTGGGTTCATTTCTTTCTTATATCTCAAATATTTGTGTTTTGTTTTTTAGATGGCTATTCCTATGAAAAGGAAGCAATGGAGAATTGGATCAGCAAAAAGAAACGTACAAGTCCCATGACAAATCTTGTTCTTCCTTCAGTGGTACTTACACCAAACAGGACTCTGAAAATGGCCATCAATCGATGGCTAGAGACACATCAAAAATAAAATTGCTGGGCTGGGGATTTAGCTCAGTGGTTCCGCCACCTGCCTTGCAAGCACAAGGACAAGGACCCGAGTTCAATCCCTGGTACCAAAAAGAAAAAAGAAAATTGCTTATTTTGTAGTATTTCTATTTTCACTGATATAATTTGATTTAAAGGTAAATGTTAAGCACTCATTATTAAAAGCCAAAAAGAGAAGAGGTAAAGTTAAATTTAGTTATAAAAATTAAAGTATATCCTCCTAACTACACACCTAACTTCATTTCTACTTTTACTATAAAAAGGCTTTTGGTGGGAGTGAAAAAATATCTTAAGCTGTATAGAAATAAAGTTTTTTACTTTGACTTTAAATTGCAATGCTTATATTTATTGTCATAAGGTCATGTCCCATTATAACTAAAGATTGAAATACTCCAGAATATAACTGGTATTTTTATCGTAATTTCTAGCCATTCATCTACTACCTCTTAGAAATCTTTATAGAGAATTCATAAGAAAATAATTCAACTGTTAATGATTGAGAAAATCACTTTCAATATATTTTAATATTTTTTTATTGGATTCTGAATTTGCAAGATAGGATTTTTCTGCTTGTTCAAACCCATGTGCGGGTTAGATGGAATAAATTATAAGTCAAGTTGACTCTGCTGAAATATGTCAAGGGTAAACTAGCCTCCTTTTAAAATTTAGAATTCTTGAGGTTCTCACAAATGAGGGTGATTATATAAAGGTATTTTTACACAATAGACTGATAAAAAATATACCACTCAACACACACGCGCGCAAGAAAATTTCAATTCAGTAAGGCATGGCTGTATAGACTTCACACATACCTGGCATAACATAAACTTTACCAGAACGGGAGCCTCTACTGGGAGGTGAAACAAAACTACAGTGGCAGGCAAGGACCAGGACTCTCTACTCTTCAGTGCAATCACTGTTGTGGTTTAGGTCTAGAATGTATGCCCCAGGCCTCGTGTGTTAAGGTGACTGGGTCAGGGGGTGTTGTACCCTGAGGAGTTCTTAGCCGATGGGTTAGGAGGTGAGACCTGGTCTGAAGAGGCAGGTCACTGGGGTGTGACCTGGAGGGGTGGCCTCTATCCGAGCTGTCCCCGTCACGCTGCTTCCTTGCCAGCATGACATGAGCAGCTCTCCTCCCCCATCCTCTTCTTACCTTTGAGCCAGTGTACTGCGGACTAAATCCTCTACAAACCATGAGCCAGAATAAACTTCTTTTAACTTGTGGGTGTTGGGCATTCTGTCCCTTAACATGGAAAGTAAGACAAGTCACCCTCAGAACACTCTGGCAGTGTTCAGTATTAAAACTCAAAAGCAAAAAGCAATATAAATATATTTAGCATTTTCGGTATTTTATAAACATATCTGATATACCACAGAAAATGGCAAACCTAGCTACTGCAGAATTTCCAGATACCATTTTTATAATCAGTGATCTGTAAAATTTTTACATAATGAGCTGTTTCTCCCATGTATCATAACTAGAATTCACAATCTATTGTAAAGAGGTGATGTTTTCATAGTACATGTTTTCATATCTTGTGAACATAGGGGTGGGAACATGTTCTAGAAATTTTTTTTAAAAATTCTATAGAGAAACTATGCTTTTTGTTTGGTTTTTTTGAGACAGGGTCTCACTATGTAGTTCAGGCTGGCCTCAAACTCACTTCCTCAGTGGGATTACAAGCAGGCGCCATGGTCCAGCAGATTATCTATTCTTTTGGGGGGGTTACTGGGGATCGAACTCAGGTCCTTGTGCTTGCAAGGCAGGCAGCAGAACCAATGAGCTAAATCCCTGGCCCAGATTATCTATTCTTAATTAAGGTTTCCAGAGGTGTTTTCCTTGTTTCTTAGCCACTCAATTTTGATCCTTTTCTGCCCTTAAGCTTTTGAAGCAGTCAGCTTTTTTCATTGAATGTGCTTTCTAGTTAGACAAACTTTTTTTTAGTCCCTTATTTAAAAAAAAAAAAAAACTCTCAGGGGTGATAGTTTTAAAATCCCCAGTTGTTTGTTTTGTTAAATTTAGTTTTCAGGTAACTGTCTGGTGGGAAAGGCTCGCCCTAGGGAATTAGTCTTTCTTGTTCACTTGTTTACCTTGTTTTAATTTATCATCTGAAATCTTTCTGAAGATTTTTGTCTGTTCTTCTGGTTCCACACTGTATCATCCTTCAGACTACTGGCCTCAGCCCAAGCCAGACTGAAGGTCTGCAATCATTTCTAACAGAACCTACCATTTGTCTTTTTAAGCATCAGACTTACTGTCCAAAGGAGGCTGGCTAGTTTTTACATAAAAACTAGTAAAACAAATTTAAAAGTCATTGCTAGCAAGCACAACTTGTTATTTTTAGATGACCCCAAAAACTCCACCAAAAGATTCCCAGCATTAATAACTAAATTTGTAGTGTAACAAGATACAAAATCAGCATTCAAAAATCAATAGTTTTCCTGTACACCAATAACACACTCAGAGATTAGGGAAACAGTGCCATTCACAATAGCATCAGGAAAAATAAAATACTTAGGAATTAACCTAACCAAGGAAGCTAAAGATTTCTACAATGAAAATTATAGTACTCTAAAAAAGGAGTTTGAAGAAGACATCAGAAAGTGGAAAGATGTACCCTGTTCCTAGATAGGCAGGACCATTATAGTGAAAATGATTCAATCTCAATCAGAATATCAAAGCATTCCTCACAGAACTAGAGAAAACTATCCTAAAATTGATACAGAACCAGAAGAGGCCTAGAATAGAAAAAGCAGTTCTGTGCAAAAAGGGCAAGGCAGGGGGCATCATGATTTAATAAACAAAAATATGCAAAAATAAAACAAAAAACAGAACCAGACTAGTGGATCAGTGGAATAGAACAGATGATGCAGAAACAACTACAGGCACACTTAGCTACCTTATCTGTGACAAAGGGGCCAAACACCTTTGCTGAAGGAAAGACAGTCTAACAAATGGTGCTGGGAAAACTGGCTGTCCACAGCTGAGGACTGAACCTAGACTCTCATCTGTCTCCGTGCACTACATCAAAATTGAAATAGATCAAAGATCTAAATATAAAAACAAACATTTAATTTGCTGGAAGATAAAATAGGTAACTCTTGAAAACATATGTGTAGACAAAACTATGAACAAAACCCCAGTTGTACAGGAAATACAAAGAACAAATGGGATTGCATCAAATTAAAAAAGCTGCTGTAAAAGGAAACGGTAACAGTGAAGAGAATCTACAGAATGGGAAAAAATTTTTGCCATCTATCCTCAAGAGGACTAATATCTAAAATATATAAAGAACTCAAAAGAATTAGATCCCCCCCCCCTCGTATTGCAGGACCCAACCCAAAAATGGGTATCTGAAATGAATAGACACTTCTCAGATGAAGAAGTACAAACAGCCAAAAAAGTTAAAAAATAAAAAACCCATGAAAAAATGAACAAAATCACTGGTCATTCAAAAAATGCAAGTTAAAACAGAATCCCTCTCATTCCAGAAAAAAATCGAGAAATCATTAACAAATGTTGGCAAGGCTGCAGGAGAAAAAGGAACTTTCTCCATTGTTGCAGTGTAAATTGATACAACCACTTTGGAAAGCTGTATGGCGATTCCTCAAAAAACTAATTGTAGAGGTTCCATCTGACACAGCCATTCCCCTCCTATGTATCTTCCCGAAAAAGTTAGATGCTATATTACAGTGATACCTGCATACCCATGTTTAGAGCAGCACAGTTCGTAACAGCTAAATCTTGGAAGCAGCCTATATGTCCAATAAATGAATGAAGAAAGAAAATATACACAGTGGAGTACTACTCTGCCATAAAGATAAACCTGAGGCATTTTTAGGTAAATTGATGTACCTTGAGACCATAATCTTTTTTTTTTTTTTGGTGCCAGGGACTGAATTCAGAACCTTGCTCTTGCAAGGCAGGCACAGTGCAACTAAGCTAAATCTCTGGCTCAAATCAATTCGAGACCATAATCGTAAGTGAACTAAGGCGCTCAAGTTTAAATATTGCATTACTTCAGTTGTGTGAGAAATCCAAACTATAAATAAGGAGCAGAATGGGAGTGGGTATTAGGAAATAGGAAGAACTTGTGCAAGTGGGAAGGGGAACAAAAGGTATGAGGGAAAGAAGGGAAAAAAAGATTTAAAGAACTGAAAGAAAAAAATGGAAATAAGAGATCTGGTAAATGTGGACAAGGGAACAAAGAAATTAAGATGTGGGGTTGGGCATTTAGCTCAGTGGTGCTACCGCCTGCCTCACAAGCACAAGGACCCGAGTTTGATCCCCGGTACCAAAAAAAAAAAAAAAAAAAATTTAAGATGTGCTATGCACATGTACACTTCCCCCGTGATGAATGGAATCATTATGAACTGCAAACATGTACTACTAAAAAAATGAATTAAAAATTATTTTTAGATGTGAAGGTGTTTTTACTAATAAAACAAAATGATTGAAAATGAAATTTTCCAAATGAAATGCCTTTTTATATAAACATAAGCTAATAGCACATAATTCCTTCTTCCATGCACATAATTAAAAACCAAAACCATGAGCTTCCACAGGACATGCTGGTGCAGGACCATGCGGGCCTGGTGGCTTCTTACTTGGATCTTTCGGAAGATTCTTTATGTCCTCATGGAGTCAAATCACACCAAGTACCCAATCTCTCCTAAGACTGTATCAGAATCATCATTATTGGGTCAGCAGTCCTACTAATACACTGGCTGCTTTACAGGAAAACAGGACCAGGATTATATATTACCAGTAACACTTTTTACCTCCTGCCAATTTTCTTTTGTATTTAATTTTTAACAAATATAGAGCTTTAATGAAAGACTGGAAGTGCTTCTCCTAGGCTTCTACAGTAGTAACCAGATATCTTAAGGCAGTATTAGGCTGAATATCCCAGCTCAGAATTTCACCATGATACAACACAGTTCAGACTGAAAAAAAAAAAAATACACACTTTTAACTAAAAGAGAATGCATTGAAGAAGAATCCTAACAGTATTCTGTTACTGCCAAAGAATTTGAGTTACAGTGTAACAGATACCTTGCTGCCAGTAAAAATAGGCAATAAATACATTGCCTTTCCCTATGCTTTCTTCCTATTTTAGGCAAAAAGACTACTTCTGATCCTTGGATATTTTGACATTTCTAAAAGCTGTCACCCTTATTCAGAAATTATGATAAAATGAAAATGAATATACATTTGGCAGTATTTATATTAAAAAGCTTTTTTGAGTGTGGGACTGGAGACTGAACTCAGGGCCTCCCACATGCTAGGCAAGTATACTCTACCATTGAGCTATATCCGGTTTTTGTTTATTTTTTAATCTTACTGAGTTTATTGGTACTCTTTAAGTATACAGTAGTTACATTCATCATTGGGACCTTGTACCCTTACATGACAGGTCTTGGTTCTCATTTTTCTCCATCCTGCCCTCCCTTCACCCCCTCCACCCTCCCCTGTTTACAAAGACTTTGTTTCCAGTTTTTACTTTTCTCATATTTTTTCTTGTCCCTTATTTCCTTTCCCCTACTCCTTTAGCCCTTACCTGTTTTTATTTTTAGACAGGGTCTCAGTTGCCTGGGCTGTCTTCAAACTGGTGACCCTCCTGTCTCAGCCTCAGAGTAGCTAGGATTATCTACATATACCACCTTATCCAACATTCACCATTTTCTTTAGGGTAACAGATTAAAGACAAGACTGGTAGCTGTCCTCAGGATATTATCTACTTACCCCCCGAATCAGTGAATCCAACTCAAGTCTAGTAATAGCTTTTATTCCATATGGAAAAGTACAGTAGTTGTGCAGAAACAAAACTACATAATAAAAGAGTAAGACTTTCACAAATATTAAAGAAAATAAACAATAAATAAGCCATAGTAGTTATAGCAGAACTCATGGAAAGCTTATAAAAAATGATAAAGCTGTTTGTACAAAGTACACTATACACACACTCAGGAAAGATGTTGAAGAATGACACCAGAAGGTCCCTATTCATACAAAACTAATGTTTGTAGGAACTTCGGAACAACTACTCCTTTTAAAACAGTCTGCAAATATAGAACTTTCTTCTCCCCAATTCTGAAAAATAAATTTCACATCCCAACATATAAAACAAATACACTCCCACCTCTCTCAAACTAGCATTTTAACACCCTCCAATAGCATACCATTTTCATATAAAAATACCTTTAAAGCAAGGTTCATTCCTGTACCTCATCTGTACAAATGAATACTACATCAGCTTGGACTTTAGCACCTCTTAGGTGTTCATTTATATGAGATAAAGTGCCGTTACCGGTGTACTGTTAACATGCCGTGACAACATATTCAGTGCAATAACCAGCATGGGTGAAGTTTAAAAGAACATGCAGGTATATGGCTGGGGTTTTGTTATTTGTTTTTGCTTTTAGTTTAACTATGTTGAAATAGTTATATTTACAAGTCTGAATAAAACTGGGCTATGTAATATATACAACATGTGACTATGAAGTAATGGCTGTGGAACAAAACAGGCAATAATCAACCACACCTCAAGTATCCAATTTAAATATTGTCCCAAAAGGACTCTGGAAGACTTGCTTCAGGAACATTAACAGTTTTGTTTGTTTGTTTTGTACCAGGGATTGAACTCAGGCCCTTGCATTTGTAAGGCAGGCAGCAGAACCACTGAGTTAAATCCCTGGCCCTTGCAGTTTAGAATCATTTGAGATTAATTTATAAGCTCCACTAAGAATGCTGATCTTAGTATTTTAGCTCAAATCTGATCTAACCACCAATCCATATTCCAAATAGCTTGTCCTGATTCCACCCATCAAAAACACCTTGAAGCATGAAAAAGTACTGTAAAAATATTTGAAAAAGAACCATAATACAGAAATAAATGTTTAACCTTTTTTTGTTTTTAAAGGAATGGCTAGGAAGGGAAGAATACTTGTTCTTGTATTTTGCTTAAACAAAATAAAAAAAAAAAGAAAACTCAGCTACCTTATGTTTATAGTCATACTATATTCAGCTAGAAATCACTGAGATCTTAATTTTATTTGTGTGTATAAAAATAAAATTATGATTTGACTCAATGGAACAGTAATGGACACTGTTTTCCCTTCTAAGTACTGTGGTTTTACCAAATAGCAAAGGCAAGGAGAAAAGTGATAAAATAATTTCGCAAGAGAAAAACATACATTAATGTATTCTTGGCTGTCTTGAAGGTTTTACTTGATAAGTACAGCTAATTTTAAATTCTGTGTAGCAGTCTTATTTACCATGACTTCTAGCTACTTATTAGAGAAGTTTTTCCTACCTTTTTTGGGAGGGTACTGGGGATCAAACTCAGGACCTTGTGCTTGCAAGGCAGGCATGGTGAGCTAAATCCCTGGCCCTTTTCCTACATTTTTAATACATCAATGGCATCAGATACACCCTGGAAGAAAAACATGGCTAAAATGTAATTTTTATGATGAAAAACCATTTAACTATTTACCACCAGGAGTCAACACACTGTTTTCCAAATGGGTCTCTTAAGGCTCACACATTTGACTCTATGAAGGATCGCTTTGGTTTCCCTGAAGTGAGGTGACTCCTGTTGGCTTCGTTACTGACGTCCTGAGGTGGCTGCTTGGAGATACTTTCCTGGTACAGATGAGGAACACTCTTAGCTTTCCTGCTGTCTTGATTGGGGTAGTGGGCTGGGATTTGGCACTTGTTTTCTTCTAGCTCCTTCACCTGTGCCCCGTTGTGGACACCTCCACTTGGGGTAGAAACAGGACAGGCTTTGGCTTGGCTGCTGTATCCTCCTTGTTTGAGAGAGGGCTTCTCTGAGTTAGCGGACTGCAGGCCAGCTGCAGTAGATGTGTTCGTCAGTAGCCCCTCTGCCACCTGGCAATGCCAGGCTCGGTGGGGAGGATGGCCTTGCTGTTGGAAGCGTGCAGTCTTGTCCATGATGCCCATGAATGGAGTATTTCGGGGCCTGTGTTCAGCAGTACCGCTCTGTACCTGACTCGCCACCTTGTCTTTAATTCGAGCATCTGGTCCTTGGACCTTGAAGCCATCTGAAAAACTACTGCTTGAAGTCAAACTACTGGCTGAACTTGACATCTTTATGCTGCTGGAAGGAGAACCGGAAGAGCCAGAACCTGAGCTGCTGAGGGAAGCAGGGTGTCGCCCATCACTGCAGCTCCCAGGTCCACCCTGGCTGGGAGGGGCCACATCCAAGGCCACAGAAGCTTGACTCAGAAGCCGCTCGGCAGCTTTGATCTTGCTTGGTAAAGGATACGCAGCACCACTCTCACTACGCTGAAGGTGGACGTTATGGCTGGGACCCAGCCGATCTCCAATGTGGCCACAACTGCCTCCCACAGTGAAGGTACCTGGTCCCTCCACATGCTGGTTTCTGCTCCCAGTGGCAGCTGTGGGGATTCTCCCTGGCATGGGACTCGGGGTAGGATTCTGAGAAGAGACCTGCAGTTTTGTGCTGCTGTGTCTCACACCAGACTGCACAGAACCCAGATGTTGGTTGGTTTTCACTATCTGTGCCTGTTTTGTGGGCTGCATAACCAGCCCTGGCTGAGCAATAGTCTCTCTCAGAGACTTGCTGCCTCCTGCCCTACTTGGTGGCGACACTGGGCGGCCTTTAGACTGGAACCCTTCTTGAAGGTTTCGGATATATGGGGAAGGGACAGATGAGGACGACTGGGACCTGGGAGTCAGGGAAATACATTCTTCCTGTGGAGAAGTTTCTTCCTCTTCAGCGCCCTCAAGGTGAAAGTGGTCGTTTAATCCAGAGGTTGGGGCATCCTCTTCATTGTCTGAGTCATCGGGCAGAGCTGGCGGGGGGCACTGCTGCTTTTGCTGCTGGTTCCTCTGGAGTTGCTTACACTCCTCTTCAACTCGAGCAAGGAGCCTCTTGATTTCCTGATTGGTGGGACAGAGTTTCACTGCCTCCTGCAGGTCAGCTAGGGCTGCCACAAACTGCCTGTACAGGCAAACAGAAGACACAATTACAAGCCATGTAATGAAATTCTGTCCTCATAGCTTCCTGCAATAGCTGCGCTCAAAGGAAAGCAGGTAGCGTGTGAGATCTGACCACTTACTGTGGTGGGCAGGTTCCATTTAGCCAGTTACTCAGCTACAAGGCAGTCTGATGGCCCCAGACAATGGGCTGAGAATGGGGACATGCATAGGTCAGTGAGCACCAGACTCCTGCACCTTTTGTCTCCACCAGGCTCCATCCTGCCCACCTCCAAGTCGGAGGCATACACAGCACGAGCTCTCCCTCCTGTCCCCAGCAGGCAGCCTCACTACCACATGGCTCAGCCAGGGGCTGTGGTGCGGTAAGTCTCCCGCAGGGGTCGGGTGGGGAGGGCCGGCTACTGAGATGCCAGGAGACATTAGGTTAGGCTATGGTAGGTAATATACTACTGTGCCTCTCGGAAGCTACTAATTTTCCACTCAAAGTGCCGAAAGCATCTGAGTGACCCTGATCATGCAAAACTTCCTCAAACCCAGCTAGCAGGTTTGATCCCAGAAAAAAAGGCTCCTCTAGTCAGGCAGGTGACACAGACCTACCTGCTATTTCTCTTCGCTCTTGCTCTGGCATAAAAGGCTTCATAGGACTTGGGCTTCAATTCCAGAGCCTTGGAAGCAAATTCTTCTGCCATGCCAAAGTCCTGGCGTCAACAAGTAAACACATGAGTCAGAAGTGGCACTGAAAGGCAACTCTTTCACAGGAGTTTCACTCTAGAGGGTGGCACAGTATTGGGAAAACTAGAAAGGGATGAAGACAAAGTCTTGTCTGAATGCTGGCTAATCAGAGATTAGGCCTAGTCTGAGGAATTCAGTATAGAAGCAGCACCGGTGGCTCAGGGTAGGGGACAGCAGTGGAAGGGGCAGAGGGCAGGGACAGGGGAGCCTGGGCCACAGCAGCAGGCAGGAGGGTGGGCAGTGTTCTGGGGCCAGGCTGGGCAGAGGGAGAATGTAGCAACCAGAGTAGGAAGGAAGGGGTACTGAGACATTTGCTAGTCACAGTAAGTGACTCTGAGAAAACCTGAGGGACACTAGGGCGGGCGGGCTAGGACAGACATGCATGTTGTCTCCTGGTAACAATGCTGGCAGGATCCCTGCTAGGAAGGGGAGAGGAGCAGTTTGCATGTGTTTCCAGTCACAGAAGCAGAGAAACCCAAGTGTGCTCTACCAGCACCCACGGGTGCTCATCAAGAGAGGTGCACATTCAGAGTGGGGGCACAGGACCTCGCCTGCAGCGGGGCTGGACTTCACCACTGTGGAGGTCCTCCTACTAAAGGACTGGGCTGGGGTCGCAGGGCCTGGCTTACATTTGTTTTTCTTCGACATCGAGACAAACTGAGATAGAGGGAGACTCTTAGTTCATTGAAGGGTCGCATGTCCTCCCCGAGTCCTTCTCGAGGAAACTTCCTCAAGGCGTACTGGTATCGCTGGGCTGCCTCCTTCATCTTCCCTTTCTAGGACATAGCAGACATGACAATGCATCCTTTTACAGCGCTCGAAGCACAATGAGCTCCCACACCCCAAAACCCCCATGTAAAGCCATCACAGCATACTGAAGAGATCCAGATGCCGAGTGCCAAGGCAGGAGTGGGGACACTGAGAGTCGAGTCCAACACACTTGGGCCTCGCTGTCCCCATGTCTGCAGCGTGTGGTCACACAGTGAGGAGGGCTTCCCAAGAGGGAATTCATAAACTGCCAAATCACTGTCCACCGTAATGCATCAGATTATCTTCTCAGTCACACATTTTTTAAAAGTTACTTCAACAATGATTTCCCATCTGAAGATATTCTAATGCCAAGTATAATAGAATCAGATGAAAATGAAGCTGTTTCTAAGGCAAGTAGAGTCTTGGGAAACTAAGAGCTTGCTGCAGCTTAATAAGTTTCCTTTAAGAAAAGCTCTAAAGCCTGGGCTTTAAAAATCAGAGCAACACCACATCATTTTCAAGGCTAAAGAAATCCATTTGTTCAGTCAGTCTCGTGGCACAGCGGGTATGCAGCCTGTGGAAAATGGCTTGATACTTTTGACATAACTGCCTACCAAAATCCATATTAAAAACACTTCACAGCCAAAACAATACACACTCTGAACTCAATCTCAAACTGATTCCAAGCCAGGAACCCTGCTGCGTCATGCTGTGTACCTATTTGTTACTATTAAAAAATAAAAAGGAAAACAAACCTATAACACAGCAAATAAAAAGGATTAAAATGGTTAAAATATAGTGGGGTTTTTCCCCCCATAATTTTATAATTCTAATAACAGGTCTGGAAAGAACAGTGATCTATGTAAATGGCCTATACGTCTATAAAAATCTGGGGTGGTAAACTGCAGTTTGCAGGCCAGATCTGGCTGCCACCTCTGTTTACAAATAAAGGTTTACTGAGACACAGCCATGCTTCTCCACCACAGCAGAGCTGGGTACCGTATGCTCGTAGCCTGCAAAGCCTAAAATATGTACTCTCTGGCCCTTTATAGAAAAAGTTTGCCAGCCTTTGATCTAAACTGACATCTCATTTTGGAAAATATAAAGTCAAATTTTATCTGCAAGTCATATTTCTATTTATTAGGAAAAATGGGGAAAATTCACTGTCTCCTAAATAGCTAATAACTATATATGACTTGACTCCATTAAGTAAAGATATTTCTAGGAACAGTTTACAGATACTAAATATTTGACAGTTAAAGGCTGGGAAGCCAGGCATGGTGGTGTATGCCTATAATCTCAGCACATGGGAGACTGAGGCAGGATTAGCATGAGTTTAAGGCCAGTCTGGGGTACACAGTGAGTTCAAGGACAGCCTGAACTACATAGTGAGACTCTTTCTAAAAAA